CTTGGAATAATCTGCATGCAGAGCAGATGCTCTCAACTCCTGAGCCATGGCAACTTTCATAAGATGAGGGGTCAAACCAGGCATGGCATGGGAGAACCAATGAGTATTTGTTCATTCATTCATCTATTGCAAATGTCTAAAGATCAGAGAATCAGCCCTCTGGTAGAAGGTGCTTAGCCCTTCTTGTGTCTTTCCATAATAGATGGCCACCCCACAGCTGCTATTAGCTTCACTGGGGTGGGGAATACAGGTATAGTAAGTATCCGTAGCTGTTTCTCTCTAGATAATTCTCTCTGTGTTGGGAATTACATTGAAGAGAGGGCATGAGAGTTAAAGTTTAAGCTCCATTCCTAAAATGCCACTTCCTTAATTGGCAAAACAAAAATATGAGCAATCTGAATTGCAGATCCTGTATCTCTCAGGGGTACAGGCGCCTCAATACCCTTCAGCTCAAGTCCCCAGATGCGTTTCAAACACATGGGTTAGACTAGAAATGGGGATGATGAGAGTGGAGGCTTATATCTGCCTAACATCAATCTACAAATAGCTGACACTGTATCTGCTCCCCTGAGGAATAGCCCCACTGATTCTCTGTGGCCAGTTCCAGTCAGGCTAGCAGACAGCAGTCCTGAACCCCCTTCAGAAACTAGGTTTTGCCCCTCAAGCCCTTCTAAGCCTGGGGTTGGGCCAGGCAAAAGCTACAGTCAGGCAAAGAATCACAGACACCGAGAGACAATGGGACTGCTCAAGGTGCCCCAACTATAAAATTGGAGAAATCGAGAGATATATAGCCACACCGGCAGCATATCTCTTCTTTCTCATATCTAAAAATGCAAGAAGGGCCTTTACACTCACCAGAAGCTTGGTCCTGCCCTCGCTGGTCCTGGAAGGAGCCTTTAAAAAAGTCCCATACACTCAGAGATTTTGCGCCTGTTCATTGGGGGAGATAGGAAGCCCAGAGCACTTGTTCTTTAGATGTCCCTTTTATGAAGAGGCACGTAGTAAGACCATTGATCCCCTACTGGTGAGGCTTGCTGGCCTCCTGGAAAAGAAAAAAAATCGACTTTTTCCTCTTAGGCAAAGATCAGAAGATGACCCAGATGGTTGCCAGATTCTGTGTACAGATCTGTAGGCGCAGACCATCTCCCAACTCAAACTAGTTCATTAAGAAAATCCCCAAACTCAGTTCTATGGGTGACTCTGGGTCAGCTCCCTGAGGTAGTTTATTGTTGTACATTGTTTTTAAATTTATTGTTGTACATTGTTTTGTTTGTTTGTTTTCCTTCTGAGACTGTACCCCCAAGTGTGTTTTATAAGCTGGTCTCCGACCGTAATAAATTATCTATCTATCTACCCTTCAGCTCTAGCATTGTTCATTATGATCCATGCAACCACAATCACAGGGGCCAAGAAAGGAAGGCTGTTCCTGTTGCCTTCACCATTGTATGGTTCAGCCTCACCGCTGATGCATTGGGACTCAAGGTCTGCAGTAGGGAGCCTGATGTATACGTCTAGCTTCCTCACACGATTTAGAACCCTGCATGGTCAGTGCCTTAAACCATGCTGGGAGCCCCTGTGCATGCAAGAGGTTTTCTGCTTCGGACCTTGAGTTCCACTGCATAGCCGGCAAGGGATGCAACAGACAGCCGTGGCTGATGGGAGGCTCATAGGTTCCCTAAACCTGTTTTAAATCATGGGATGGATTATTGTTCTCTCACAGATCCTCAGATCATCAACATGCCACAACATGGCTCCACCTTCCCAGGTCCCTGTCGTGTAATACCACATCCCAACCATGCATCATTTTTAATGGTACACCATGCTTTATTCCTTATTTATCCTCCCACCCCCTTAAGTAAAATGTTTTACTATGCTTTGTTTGGATCCTGGTGTCACCGAGGAGAACACGTTTTCATTAGAACTGTCGCTTCAATATATTTCCCTCCAGCATGCTGGGAGCCACATACTTTCCCTTTTTTATATATATCCCTTTATATTTATGAGCTATTTTGGGGTTGTTTTCAGAAGTATGCACCTGCTTGATCATATATTAAATGGCATTCTCAAATTCGCTTTGTCTAAGCATCTGAAAACAGGGTGAGCTGTATGCATGTGGGTGGAATTCTGTTTAAATTATTGTTGGGTTCAGTCCCTGCACTGGTCTTTTCCCAGTGTGTTGCCCTGTGAAAAAGGCAGATCCCGTGCTAAGAAAGGAACTGAAAATAGAACTGTAAAATAATAATGCTGCTACACAAATCTATGATGTGATCGCATCTGGAATATGGTTTACAGTTCTGGTTGCCTCACCTCAAAAAGGGTATTGTAGAGTAGGAAAAGGTTGGTGCCTGTGATGCTCTTTGACGGCCAGGAGTGAGCAGCAATGGCTGCAGAACAATGGCGAGGCTCCACTGCGTGAAGGAGGCGCTGCAGCCAGCTGCAACTGCCGCTCACCGCAAAATACTACTACTAATAATAATACGGCTACTAATAATTTATTATTTACACCCTGCCCATTTGGCTCCCAACAGAATGTTAAAAACACGGTAAAACATCAAACATTAAAAACTTCCCCAAACAGGGTTGCCTTCAGATGTCTTCTAAAAGTCAGATAGTTGTTTATTTCCTTGACATCTGTTGGGAGGGTGCTCCACAGGGCGGGTGCCACTACCGAGAAGGCCCTCTGCATGGTTCCCCATAACCTCACTTCTCGCAGGGAGGGAACCACCAGAAGGCCCTTGGAGCTGGAGCTTAACTGAGGAGGGGAGAACCTTTTGCACCACCTTGAGCTCCTTGCAGAAAAAGGTGGAATATGAAGGCAATAATAAAACAAATAATAATAATACAAAACAAAGGGTGTTCTGTGGACAGACAATAATAAGCACAGAAAACCAAGAGTCATGAGGGAGTGCAAGACCTTCAGAAGGCTCGAGTCGGCAGAGAGAGGGGGGGGGAAGGTGATATAAAAGAGTGGCAGATTTCATGATGGGAATTACAGATGATTTTGAGTCCCGTGAAGAGTGCAAGTCTTGGCTGAGCTCTGCAAATGAAGATGGACAGAGACTGCCTCTGGCAAGCCAGCCCCATCTAAGGCACTGCCATTGGAAGTGGTTTGTGCACAAAGTGTGTGGTGTGTGTTTGTGTGTGTGTGCATGCGTTGCAGGCTTGTTTGACGCTCTTGTTGTTCTTTCCAGGTCACTCTGACAAAGCTCCCAGCTGGAGTTCTGGGCTTAGGCTGATGGGCTATTATAGCTGCCGCTTTTCATTTATTAGTGTGACAGGCGATTCATATTAATAACGCAAGGAATCGTGCCTGTGCTGAGAAGAGGGTGGAAGAAAGGATGTGACAGGGGGAGGAATGGGGAGAGGGAGAAGAAGTGCTCTAGTGACATTGATTGTAAGACGCAGTCCTTCCAGAGCTGGGTTATAAGATGTAGGAGCCCAATACTGCTAGCCATAGCTCAGTGGCCGAGCTTCTACTTTACACACACAAAGTCCCAGGTTCAATCCCCAACATCTCCAGGTAGAACTGGGAATATTTCTCGTCTGAAACCCTGGAGAGACGCTGGCAGTCAGTGCAGGCAACACTGAACTGGATGGACCAATAGTCTGACTCAATTTAAGGCAGTTTCCTAGGTTCCCCATGAAGTGTAGGTGGGTTCCTACGAGGCAAGACACAGTGATAACAGCAAGAACCCTTTCTGAACTACATAACTGGGAAACAGAGGCAAAGCAACTTCTTATATACATTTCTGAAAGCCTGGGCCACTCCCACTCCCAATGTGATTGGCTGTCTAAACTTCCAAACTGCGAATCACGGCTCAAAGTTCAAGGGCCAATGGCACAGGCCCAAATCCTGAAATGTTCTGTGATTGGACATCATGTATCGAATCAGGACACGGGAGCTCAGAATCCTTAGTCCAGACTAAAGCTCAGGCAAACACAGACTACTGAATACATAACGCCCCAATCCTTACTACTACTGCTATATTATTTAGGGGCCTTTGGGGAAGAAGGAGCTATCAAAACCCCATCCAGCCAAACAGTATGTGTCACTGATGTATTTCCAGTTCTATGCACGTGCATTGCTTCTTTACCACATGGTCACAAAGACAGAGGTGAACTTCAAATTGGTGCCAAAATAGGGCTTACTCTTAAAGTACGAAAAGCCCAACACATATTGATTTTTCAAAAAGCTTCCTTGTGCAATGATGAATACTGTCCTTTACACACACAGAGGAACCGTGTTTCTCCAGACCCCTCAATAAAAATGGATAATGAGAAAAAGCTGCCCCCCGCAGTGCTTGTGACATTATAATTGCCTGATTACCATGAAATCAGAAGCATCTCTCCCCTCCCCCCAAACTCTGATTGCATTAAGCGTTTATCCCTAATCCTAGAGATTTAGGTTTATTGATAAGTTAAAAGCTCATATCCCCAAGTTGACTGGCAGCCAGAGGCTAATGAAATTGTGCAGCCGCTTTAATTTAACATGCACACATATTAAGTGGTTATGACTTTATCGCTCTCCGACAGCAATGGTGCTTAAACCATCTGGTGAGATTATTCGGGCCATGGCAGGTGTCCCCTGAGTTTCTGCCAAAAATAACAAGCCCACCTCCGCTATATGAGTCTCATTTAGCGATATTTTTTAAACAATCTTTTGATTGATTTTTTAACATACAGAAAAAGAAAGATACATTTTAGTATAAGCTATATAACAAAGGGAAATTCAACCTAATTGCAACAAATAAAAATTAAACTACGGTTAACTTTCTGGGCAAGCAAATAATGAAAACCTTTGTTAAGGGATCTATTCAGGCAAGTACATCAGGTAAGCATTTGAACCAATTTTTAATAACTTTTCCTTTTTTTTGTTATAGGGGCAACAAAACAGGAAACACTATAAGGAGGTATGAACACTGAGAGAACTCACAGAATTATAGAGTTTGAAGGGACCACGAGGGTCATCTAGTCCAACTCCCTACAATGCAGGAATCTTTTGCCCAACATGGGGCTCAGACCCACAACCCTGAGATTAAGAGTCTCGTGCTCTACCGACTGAGTTTCCAAGGCAGATAATCCAAATCCCTTTAAAGGCTGGAAGTGGGAACTGCTCACTTTCCTTTAAGTCGCACAAAATCATACTATATCAAAATAATTTATTTTTTTTTACTTTGACCTCTAAGAACGCTTAATTCAAATGTGAATTTTTCAAGCAATGAAATCCCATACCTTTGCAAACCAATAATCCAGATTAGCTCCTTTCAAATCCTGCTAGCCCAACTTTTTAAATTGTAAATTGTGTTGCAATAAGAAAATCTTCAACTAATTCCTTGCTGTTCATGGTAGTAGCATCCTCTGTAAATATCCACTCGTATTATTGTCATGATGTCTGCAATGCTTCAAAAATGGGGGGGAAATGCATGATATCCCTTTTCCCACCATAAATACAGAACCATGGGTCAGTGCTTCTGGTTCTGCATGGAGAGCAGATGCTCTACCACTGAGCTATGACCCTTCCTTTTCTTCATCCTATGTTGCATTGTGGACAACCTGAAGGATAAATTAAATGGTCAAGACTGTTAGGTAATGATGTCTGCTTGAAGGAAAAGCTGGGCTCCTTTAGTCTGCAGCTTGAAGTCAAGGCTGAACTCAAGGGTAGAGAGAGTCTTCTTGAAGGATCTGTGCCAGGTGTGATCAGACAGGTGAAGGGCACTGGTGTTGATTATATAGCTTTGATGGCCTGACAGGTCCGAGATGACAGCAATCTCACTGCCCCACTGTTTTGCCAAAAAGTATTTCGTTTCATTTCATTTTTAATTTGTATACCGCCTTTCTATTTTACAATACTCAAGGCGGTTTACAAGCTGAAGAAACAAAAAAATGTACATCTTATAACAATCTAATGCAATACAAAAATGTGATAATAAAGCATAACTTTAAATAGGCAACCTCCATCAAGAAAGTAACATCCAACAATCATTAGAATAGTATAAAATAATAATATCAACATATAAAAGTTAAACAAAAATCCACTCAACAGTTATAATAATATCTAAACTATAATCAATAAAACAATGGGAAGCCACAGCACATAAAACAATACAATACACATTGAGAAGCAGAGGGTAGGGCAAGGCAGGTGGAAGGAGGCCTTGCCTGATGGAGTCTCTCCCCTCAGTGACAGACAGAGACCTAAAAGACCACTCACCTTTTCTGGTGGGCAGCTGTGGGGCCGGGCATCCGGGACCCAACAGTGATCTGGCACGAGGGTAGAGATTGATGCCCCCTTTCATGCATCGCCCCAGCCACGTCACCAGCTCTGGGCAGGGCCACACCCAGCATGGTCCTGCTGGCCAATCAGCACTGGCAATGGGCGTGGCCACGAGAGATTTAACCGTGGCATGGCCAGGGTGCCTTCCTCTCTCACCCCTTCTGTCAGATCTCCCTAACCACCCACCATCTTTTTTTATGCTTTGTTTGTTTATGACCTTGCTATGGACAACTTTTGGCCACCATATTGTTGGGGCCGTGTATGAATTTTTTTCTGCTTGGCAAATTGGCACCAGCCATTTGGTTTTCACCTACCTGGTAGCAATCATCACAACTTTGTGAGGTTCGGCATTGGGTAAGCCTTTGTTTGGATAGAGGGGAGGTTGTAGCTTCCGCCTGCCCCTCCTAATTAAGGGTATCCTGTTAAAGGGATCCAGGGGTGTGGATTCTGTCCGATGTCCAGATGTGGGCTAGGGCCATGCCACGACCCCTTAGGGTGCTCCTATTTGATGTAACTCACAGGGCTCCCCATATTGGTGGTTTACTCTTAGTTGGACTGCCTACAAACGGGTGGGAGTCCAGATATAGCCTGGCTTCAATCAATGCCTAAGCCAAATCGCTCACATCTGTAACCAATAAAGTTGTGGCATATTTGAACCCATAATCCAAAATACTTGCGTATGTGTGTTTATTATCTACTAGGGAACTGCACGCAAGGGCCAGGCATAAAGGAGCTTTTAAAATAACTTCATTGTTCAGGGGTGAAACTAGGTTTATTTCACCTGGGTCAAAGACCTAGTTTGGCCCTCCCAATGGGCATTTGCGCGCACACACACACACACACACACACACGGTGGGAGCCTCAATGGGGCATCTCTGGAGGCTTCACCTGCGGCAAAACACCTGGCTGGGCCCCCTCCACCCCACCTGTAGCTACGGTTCTGCATTGCTCATCGTTGGAACACTCAGGGAAGCAGTGTATCAGCTGGGAATCTCTGCCCCACTTCCCCCTTTCTGACACCACACAAGTTTCCAGGGGCTCATGCAAGTAAACACATCCTTCAATGGTGCCTATTTAGGGTGAGACTGTAGCTCAGTGGTAGAGCACATACTTTGCATGCACCCTCAGTTAAAAATGATCAGGTAACAGCGGATGTGAGTAGAAAAAAACCATTTGCCAGATTCCCCTGTGGAGCCACTGCCAATAGGAGGAGGCAATACTGGGATCAATGGGGAATACAGTGGTACCTCTGGATATGCACACCTCTGGTTGCGTATCCTTCAGGATGTGAACGTGGCAAACCTGGAAGTATTTTTTCCGGGTTTCGCCACATGCGCACGTGCAGAAGCGGTCCCTCCAGTTGCAGAAACCTCGGGATCCGACTGGAGCTCTGGAATGGATTCCGTCCACAACCGGAGGTACCATTGTATAGGACAAAACTGATACAATGCAACTGTGTGTTGCTATGGTTGATCTTGATGTCTAGACGAGGGGTTGGGAATGCAATTCCACCTAAGGGTTGCATTCCTCTCTTAGGTTGGGTGGGTGCAGAGACAAAAATTGGTGGAGCAATGAACACAATTTTTTTCCTTTCTACAGTAAGCTAGATTTCGCACTCACCTCTCTATCTTCTGGTGAAGCAAGAAGCGTGTTTAGAGTTCAAGGAGAATGAGTGAAGGGCAGTCATTCAGCAATGCCTCATGGCATGAGAACACTGGTGTGTCTCTATTTTTCAGTTAGAGAGAGTGGTAAAGAGCTATTCTTGTGGTGTTGGGTTTCGAGATGAGTGAATCTGTCAGTTTCAGTTTCTATGTTTCTCACTTTTTCCAAACTTGAATTTAGTCCGACACATCTCCACATCGGTTTGCAAAAGTCCCCATGAAAAATTGTCAGCATCTGAGTGCAAATTTCTCCTAATATGCATGCATGTTTATACAATTTCCTCTTATCTAATGTACTTTTGTATGCAGCAGGTCAGCAGTGGCCACAATGGGCAATTTGAATGACACTCTAAGGCTTCACACATGACACATGCATGTGGGGCATGTAGGTGTGGCTCTTAGGGGAGCGGGCTTGTTGGCCAAATGGGGAGCCATGCCAGGCCTAATTAGGCACATGGTCTAGTGGTTCCCCACCCTTGAACCAACACAATGCATTTTTGTACATTATTTTCACTCAGTGTGTGCACTTCCCCACAATATACTCATTTTTTTGGGCTGGAGTGCTAGATCTCAGACTTCAGAGAAGTGCAGATTCCAAGCTGTATTCAGGGTTTTGTAATGGTTCAGAAAGTGCAAATCAGGTAGGTTCTCATTTAAATGCAAACTGAACCGATTTCTCAATCATCCCTTTCCACAAGCCAGTTTTCACAGGATTTCACACACTGTCTGAAGTCAATGGCCAGATCTTCATCCAGTCATTCTTTCTAATTAGGTAGTTTTTCTCTCATTTCCTCACCACCTCCATTACCAGTTCTGCTGTACAGAGTTTTTATGATGCTTTGTTTACAACCCACTGCTCTCTTAATCTCCTCCCCCTGGAACGGTTTACAGTGGAATAACACACACACACACACACACACACACACACACACGTATTTCCAATATCGGGTTGAATAAAAATGCTGACTTCTACCATCTGTTGTTGTGCATTTAATGAAATGATAAGAGCAGCAGCAAGCTTTATCAGAGAAGGTGAAATTGAATACTACATAGATATATATGAGAAAAACTCTCGGGTGAATGATGATGGAATGTTTTTCATAGGGCTGCTCTGGAAGCTACAATATAGGTATGCTTGCAGCCATCTGTCTGGGCAAGGCCTTAGAAGACCACTTGACTTAGGGTCTGGGCCAGCCAAGGTTAAGCATAAGAACATAAAGAGAGTTTTTCCTGATTAAAACAAGGTGAGACCATCTAATCATCCTGTTTTCTTAGTGGACACTCATATGCTTCCAGCAGCCCATAAGTAGGGCAAAAGCTCTTATGCTAGTCATCATCATCATCATCATTATTAGAATTTATATATTGGCCTACACCCAGCATTCATTCTGATTTGTTTGCAGGGAGGTTCTGTGAAAAAGAGCAGTCAGCCTGGATCCATCCTAATTTGATTGCAGAGGGTTTATTAGGGCTACACACAGCCTTCCTGCCCTGCCATCTCCCCTGTGGCTCTAGTCTGCCCTTCTGATAGGCCAACCTGCCCTGGTCTTTATATTTAAAAACTTAAAATTAAACACATTGTCAGGTGGGGTGAGGAGTCATTGCATCTCCCCCATGCCAAGTGAGAGAAGAACAGTTCACTTCTGCAGGGTGCTCATTTACATGCAACAACTCTACGAGGAAGCTGCTTGTGAGTGAGCCCCCAACAGGACTGATGCCCCTACTCAACAGCTGTTGAGGAAAGAGAGTCTGGTGGTATCGGGTGCCTGCCTTCTTCTGGGGAGATGCAGCCCATGGTCAGGTGGGTCTCAGCCTTTATGCAGGTTTTCCTAACTGATGCCCACATCTCCTTTCTGCCTGATGCCTCACCCCAACATCCTTTTATCACTCTGAGCCATCTAACCTGGCTCACAAGGACTCATAGCAATCTCAGCCTGACTTGACCAATGCCCAGGGGTGGAGGAAGGGGGGGGGCTGGTCACCCTGGTTGTCACCACTGAGGCGTAGCGTGGGTTGTCAGCACCCGGGGCAAGGCAAGTAATTTGCGCCCCCTAACCCGGGGCAAGGCAAGTAATTTGCGCCCCCTAACCCCTAACCTGCCGCCGCTGCCAGCTTCTTCTTGCTGCTGCCTGGTCTGG